ATGTTTGGATGCACTCTAAAAATGTTTGGACGCACTCTAAACGTATTTGACGCACTCTAAACATGTTTAGACGAACTCTAAACATGTTTCGACGTACTCTAAACATGCACTCTAAGTATATTTCGACGCACTCTAAACTTGTTTTGATGCACTCTAATTATGTTTCGACGCACTATAAACGTGTTTTGACGAACTCTAAACATTTTTTGTTGCACTCTAAACATGTATTGACGCACTCTAAACATGTTAGGATGCACTCTAAACGTGCTTGGAGGCACTAGATGTATTTGGACGCATTCTAAACGTCTTTGGACGCACTTTAAACATCTTTAGATACTCTAAACATGTTTCGACGCACTCTAAATATGCTTCGATGCACTCTAAAAATGTTTGGATGCACTCTAAACATGTTTGGATGCACTCTAAAAATGTTAGGACGCACTCTAAACGTGTTTGGACGCACTCTAAACGTGTTTGGACGCATTCTAAACATGTTTCGATGAACTCTAAATATGCTTCGACGCACTCTAAAAATGTTTCGATGCACTCTAAACATATTTGGATGCAGTTTAAAAGTGTTTGGATGCACTCTAAACGTGTTTGGATGCACTCTAAGTATGTTTGGATGCACTCTAAACATGTTTCGATGCACTCAAATGTTTCGATGCTCTCAAAACATGTTTGGATGCACTCTAAGTATGTTTTGACGCACTCTAAACATGCTTGGATGCACTCTAAATGTCTTTGGACGCACTCTAAATGAAGACTTTTATATAAATTTGAATTATAAATGAAAGAGAATGAATGGGTTTTTTGTATATGTGAAAGAGAATGATGAAATGAAGATATTAAGTATGTATATGAAAATGTATTGAAGATGTGTATCGGAGAAATGTCTCCTGCATGTCTTATTCTTAAGTGTTGACTTTAGAATACATATATATACAAAATAGATAATGCACTTTAAACATGTTAGGATGCACTCTAAACATGTTTAGACGAACGCTAAACATGTTTCGACGCACTCTAAACATGTTCCATTGCACTCAAAATGTTTCGATGCTCTCAAAACATGTTTGGATGCACTCTAAGTATGTTTTGACGTCTAAACATGCTTGGATGCGCTCTAAATATGTTTTGACGAATTCTAAACATCTTTTGTTGCAGTCTAAACATGTTTTGACGCACTCTAAATCATGTTTTGACGTACTCTAAAAATGTTTCGATGCACCCTAAACATGTTTGGATGCACTCTAAAAATGTTTGGACGCACTCTAAACGTATTTGACGCACTCTAAACATGTTTAGACGAACTCTAAACATGTTTCGACGCACTCTAAACATAACATGCACTCTAAGTATATTTGGACGCACTCTAAACTTGTTTCGATGCACTCAAGTATGTTTCGACGCACTATATGATATGGACATCCAAGGCAACACCATTGGAGTTGAACTCATGCAAGGACGAGCTGCATCGGAAGCTAGCTACGGGATGAACATAGCGGGAGAAAGCGTTGAGCCAATTGGACCGATTACAAGATCTCGTGCCAAGAAGCTACAAGCTGCATCAAATGGCCTTATTCTCCCTTGTTTGAGTCAAGAACACTTGGAAGAATGTGTTGGGTTGGTCCAACAACAAGCCCAGCCCATTATCCACATGATATCAAGCTTGGAAGACCCACAAGTGAAGCCCAAATTTTAGGCCCAATAAGTGTGACGAAAATTGACATCAATTCTGGTCAAGATGTCTTTCCAACACCATCTTGAAGACCACAAAGTCAGCATTATGGTTTTCTTGAAGTTCCACACAATCACATTCAAGACTTTTTGAAGACCACACATTCACACCTTGATTTTTGTGCTTATTTATTTTAGTTTTTGCTAAGTTTCATGTATTGATCTCTATTTAAAAATCAGATTGTAAAAACACAACTTTGAAATATATTTTGAGAGGTTTCTCTTAGAGTTCTTTTAGAACTAATTTCTGAACTTATCGGATCTTCATCCGTGGCGTTCAAACTTGACTTATCAAGTGTTGATTCCGCACAACACTTGTGGCATCTTCGATCACCCTACGTTTCTAAACCAGGTTCACTCGATCAAAGAAAAAAAAAAGAAAAGAGAAAAAAAAATTTGGAAGTTGATTCGATTTTGAGTCGGAGTTGAGTCAAAGTTTCTTGAGTCGTAGTCCAAAACTTTCGAGTCATAGTCGAAGTTTCATCTTTGAGTCGTTTGAGTTTTCTTGCGTTGAATATTAGGTTTTGAGACTTAGAGTCACTCTTACTCATCTTCTAACTTGGTTTAGTGAGTTGAGTTTTGAATTTCATTGTTGTTGCTTCTGATTGAGTTCCTTAATTAGTTTGCACAAGGATTCGTAAGAGAAACGGGAGAGTTGAGTGATACACAAATTGAGCGAAACTCTTTTCTGAGTGATTTGTGAGGTTCTCTCATCTTCCTTTTCCTTGTCTATTTCTGTTTATTTGCTGACGTTTTTACTTGCAGGAAAATTTCATAATGGCGGTGGAACAAAATTGCAATCTAGACAATCAGCAACATGAAGAAGCAAACCTACTTCAAATGCAGGCCTTGATGGGTGAGCTACGGAGAATCATGCGAGCTGAGTTGGAGGGTATCCATCAAAGAATAGACCAGATGGAAAATGAGGCGCTTGTCGCACGTAACCTGCCACGACAAAATGCGGTGCAAAGACAACCTCGAAATGGTCCCGAAAGAGCTAGAACACCACCACAAGTTTCTAGCAACGAAGAAGATGTAAGATCAGATTTTTATGAGGCTCCTCGGAGACAAAGACGAGAAAGAAGGGCTCGGGAGCATGTTGATGATGATCTCAGTGGTATAAAACTCGAAATCCCATCTTTTCATGGCAGGAATGATGCTGAAACTTACTTGGAGTGGGAACGGAAGGTTGAGATGGTGTTTGACGTACATCACTATTCTGAGCGAAAGAAAGTGAAGTTGGCAGCCGCTCGCTTTAGTGATTATGCACTTGCATGGTGGGATCAACTTGTAACCACACGAAGAAGAAATGGGGAGAATCCTATTGATGCTTGGGATGACATGAAAGCGGTTATGAGGCGAAGATTTGTTCCAAACCACTATCATAGAGAAGTTCTCCAACGATTGAGGCGTTTGGTCCAAGGTAACCGTAGTGTCGAAGAATATTATAAAGAGATGGAAATACTAATGATTCGAGCCAATGTTGATGAGGATAGGGAGTCAACGATGGACAGATTTATTGGAGGGTTGAATCAGGAGATCCAAGATCGTGTGGAGACTCAACACTATGTTGAGATGGAGGAGTTGCTACATCTTGCGATCAAGTTTGAGAACCAAATCAAAAGAAGGGGGAAAACACATCAGAAGTTTGGTTCCAACTCTTCCAATGCTCGGCCACATTTCCACAAAGAAGATAAGCAACTTTTGGTTCAAAAGTGGCAGCAAAGCCCGAGGGCAAACCTGATACGTCCCAGCCTAGAAAGCAAGGTATTTCTGATGCTGTTCCATCACGTACTCGAGATATTCGATGTTTTAAGTGTTTGGGCAGAGGACACTATGCAAATGAGTGCCCGAATCGAAGAACATTGGTGGTTCGTGATAATGGAGAGGTTGAAACCGAAGCTGAGGGTGAATCTGATTCAATGCCGTCTTTGGAGAGGATGTAGACGAGCAAGAGGCTGAGTCAGGTAAACTGATGGTGACTAGAAGGGTTTTGAATCTTCGATCAAAAGAAGAGGAGAAAATCCAGCGAGAAAACATCTTTTATACAAGATGTGTTGTTAAGGACAAGGTTTGTAGTTTGATCATTGATAGTGGGAGTTGTACTAACGTGGCGAGCAATTCTTTGGTTGAAAAGCTAGGGTTGCTTACTCAGAAGCATCCAAAGCCATACAAACTTCAGTGGCTGAATGACAATGGAGAAACGAAGGTTCATAGGCAAGTAAAGGTTCCATTTCGTATTGGCAAATACGAAGATGAAGTGCTATGTGATGTTGTGCCTATGCAAGCTGGTCATTTACTTCTTGGGCGGCCATGGCAGTTTGATACCCGTGCTCAACACGATGGATACTCCAACAAATATTCTTTTGAGTTCAAAGGGAAGCAAAAGTTTCATTTCGTATTGGCAAATACGAAGATGAAGTGCTATGTGATGTTGTGCCTATGCAAGCTGGTCATTTACTTCTTGGGCAGCCATGGCAGTTTGATACCCGTGCTCAATACGATGGATACTCCAACAAATATTCTTTTGAGTTCAAAGGGAAGAAAATCAGATTGGTTCCTTTGACTCCTAAAGAAGTGTATGAAGATCAACTCCAAATGATGAAGAATGAGAAGAAATTGTGTGACCATGAGGTAGTTCACTCAAAAATTGGTGAGGATTTGAGAAAAACCCAGTCAAAGGCCTTTGAGAGTATACCCGTGAGATCAAACACAAATTTCTTCATGAGAGCGAGAGAGGTTAAGAAAGCATTGCTTTCGCACCAGCCTATGTTTGTACTTCTGTACAAAGAGGCTCTTTTGAACACTAACGAACTCACCTCTACTTTGCCTAGTGTTGTTCTTGATCTTCTGCAGGAATACGACGATGTTTTTCTGGAGGAGATTCCAAATGGACTGCCACCATTACGAGGAATCGAGCATCAAATCGATTTCATTCCCGGTGCAAGTATTCCAAACAAGGCAGCCTACAGAACCAATCCCGAGGAAACCAAAGAGCTTCAGAGGCAAATTTCGGATCTGATGGAGAAGGGACACGTCCGAGAAAGCATGTCACCATGTGCCGTGCCGGTGATTCTTGTACCAAAGAAAGATGGTACGTGGCGAATGTGTGTTGATTGTCGTGCAGTCAACCAAATCACGGTAAAGTATCGCCATCCTATTCCGAGACTTGATGACATGTTGGATGAGTTGCATGGTTCAAAATTCTTTTCTAAGGTTGATTTGAGAAGTGGCTATCATCAAATACGCATGAAAGAAGGTGATGAGTGGAAAACTGCCTTTAAAACAAAGCATGGGTTGTATGAATGGTTGGTTATGCCTTTTGGCTTAACAAATGCACCTAGCACGTTTATGAGGCTGATGAATCACGTTCTTAGACATTTTCTAGGACGTTTCGTGGTTGTGTATTTTGATGATATGCTGATATATAGCAAGAACCTTGTTGAACATGTTGAACACATTAAATCTGTCTTGGATGTTCTGCGAAAGGAGCAATTGTTTGCTAACTTCAAGAAATGCACGTTTTGCACTAACAAATTGGTGTTTTTAGGGTTTGTGGTTAGTGAGCAGGGAATTCATGTCGATGAAGAGAAGATCGCAGCCATAAGGGATTGGCCATGTCCGAGGACAGTTGGTGATGTGAGGAGTTTTCATGGACTTGCAAGTTTTTACAGGAGGTTTGTTAAGGACTTTAGCACCATAGCTGCACCACTTACAGAAGTTATCAAGAAGAATGTCGGGTTTAAGTGGGGAGATGCACAAGAAGCTGCTTTTCAACTTCTGAAAGAAAAACTCACTAATTCTCCACTCTTGTCTCTACCTGATTTTTCTAAAGCTTTCGAGGTAGAATGTGATGCTTCTGGTGTAGGTATTGGAGCTGTTTTGATGCAGGAAGGAAAGCCAATATCTTATTTCAGTGAGAAGCTAAGTGGAGCGCAACTAAACTATCCCACTTATGACAAAGAGCTTTATGCTTTGGTGAGGGCGCTTCAAACATGGCAGCACTATCTTTGGCCGAAGGAATTCATCATTCATACCGATCATGAGGCTTTGAAACATCTAAAAGGTCAGCAAAGGTTGAACAAACGACATGCTAAATGGGTTGAGTTCATTGAAACATTTCCTTATGTTATTCGCTATAAGCAAGGAAAAGAGAATGTTGTGGCTGATGCTTTATCTCGTCGTCATAACCTGCTTGTTTCTCTTGACTCGAAATTGCTTGGCTTTGAGTTCATTAAGGAATTGTATGCTTCTGATCTCGATTTTGGAGATGTCTTTAAGGCATGTGAGAAATCTGCTTGTGGTGAATATTTCATACATGATGGGTTTTTGTTCCGAAAGAACAAGTTGTGCATTCCTCATTGTTCTTTGCGTGATTTGTTGGTTAGGGAAGCACATAGTGGTGGTCTAATGGGGCACTTCGGAGTGGCCAAAACCTTGACTGTTTTGCAGGAACATTTCTATTGGCCACACTTGAAACGAGATGTCGAACGAATCTGTGCAAGATGCATTGTTTGCAAAAAGGCGAAGTCTAGACTTCAACCACACGGTTTGTACTCTCCATCGCCAATTCCTAGTCATCCCTGGACTGATATTTCTATGGATTTCATGCTTGGTTTGCCTAGGACCAGAACTGGAAGGGACTCAATATTTGTTGTGGTTGATAGGTTTTCGAAGATGGCACAATCCGAAGAGGATGAAGCAGCCACAACACCAGAAGAAACTGATGCATCCATCCAAACCGAAAAGGGAGATGATGGAAGCCATTTACCCCTTATGGTTCAAGAAACCAAAGGAGATCAAAAGGCAATCGTCCTTGATGAAAATGTAGACAAGGAGAACCAAAAAGAAGAAGAAGAGCAAACGAAAAATGACGAACAAATTTGGAAAAAAAGAGACGAAAAGGAACAAGAGCAATGGACTGAGCACGGAATTTTGGTGGCCGACTTCCAAGAGAAAATGAATTTCCAAGAAGAAGCGAGAGCCAATGAAACGCTGCAGCTACCCATTCACAGCGGTCCATTTCGGTCATGTCTTTCCCCTAATCTTGTTTTTGAAACTTTCTTTGTTTGTTTTAGCATATTTGGACAGAAGGTACTCGTGGGAACTAAGGAAAGCCCAAGGAGATCAGATCGTTCATCCCATGACACCAACCAAAACAAAATCAACATCACTTTTGAGGAAAACAAATCTCTGCTCAAGAACCAGACCATTCAGAAAACCATCAATTGCATCTCCTGTCTTCTTTCGATCTCTAAGGGGTTTGTTATCGTCTTCTCTACCATAAACTCTCCTAAGAATGTTATTTTTTATCATAACCCATATAAACTTTTTAGCTATAATGAAAATCACATTTTGAGTTTAAGAATAAGTCATGATAGTAATAGGATTATGCATGATATTTTCGATAAAATGGCTAATATTGATATTTTTAGTAGAATTTAATTTCTAGGAACATTTCTAGCAAGCAAATTAAGATATGAATATATTCATAGACTGCTTCTTTTGCAAGATGACGTTGAAAACATTTTACAGAAAAATGAGTCACGAGTGAATGTAAAATTGTTTGATTATGTTCAATCTAAACTTTCTAACACTTTATTTGATAAGTTGCAGGCTTTTGAAGTTGACGTCGGATGTCAACATCTAATTAAAGGAAAATTCTTTGCTTTTCTTTATATACCGATTCATTCTAACGAATCATATGTAATAGGAATAAAACAGAAAGGTTCAACATTAAAACATTATTTCAAAGAGATTTGGTTTGAGGGGGAATGTAAGGTGAAACTTCAAACCAAAGGTAAAACACTATATCTTCTCGTGTTTGATTATAGTCATATTTTTACAGCCTTATGTTTGGTTTTGTGTGTAAAATGGAGTGTCTTGGCCTCCTTTGTGTTCTTTAATCCATTTTGTGAGTGTTTGCAAAATTTAGGAACCAATATTGAGATGAATTGCATTTTTGAGGGGGAACAATGGAAGAGGATGCAACAACGAAAGGTGATACAATACACATGGATGAGACAATGCGTTCTCTTGCCAAGATTAGCTCTCCGACATTCCTCCAAGCTAATCTTGAGGGGGAATGTTAGAATATATATACCACACGAAGAAACTGATGCACAAGAAATCGAGAAACGATAACTCGTCATAGCTAACACTTGAAGGCTGAAGTCAACCAACGAAATAAGGGAAGCTTTATGAAGTCAGTAGCCGTTTGAAGAAGCAAGATTTATGGCTAAATCAATCAGAAATCTCGACTCAATCAATCAAAGAGAATCTGAGATCACATTGATCTCTACTTGCCATATTAGCTCATCTAATATCTTCTTTCCTCATTTGTAAATATTATAACCGTTTGTAATATGTGTTACCTTATTCTTTTAGCTTAGTTTTAGTCCTTTATATGTTACGCATGAAACTATATTTGTTTAAGAAGAATAAAGTGATCTATTGCATATAGTGCACGATTACCTCTCTTCTTCTTAGCTTTCTTCTAATTTTCAATCTATTTTCTTGGTGTTCATGATCTGAAACACTCAAATATTTTAGAAATCTTCAGAACATAGCGGGAGAAACCGTTGAGCCAATTGGACCGATTACAAGATCTCGTGCCAAGAAGCTACAAGCTGCATCAAATGGCTTTATTCTAAACATGTTTCGACGCACTCTAAATATACTTCGACGCACTCTAAAAATGTTTGGCTGCACTCTAAACATGTTTGGATGCACTCTAAAAATGTTTGGACGCACTCTAAACGTGTTTGGACACACTCTAAACATGTTTCGATGAACTCTAAATATGCTTCGACGCACTCTAAAAATGTTTCGATGCACTCTAAACATATTTGGATGCACTTTAAAAGTGTTTGGATGCACTCTAAACGTGTTTGGATGCACTCTAAGTATGTTTGGATGCACTCTAAACATGTTTCGATGCACTCAAAATGTTTCGATGCTCTCAAAACATGTTTGGATGCACTCTAAGTATGTTTTGACGCACTCTAAACATGCTTGGATGCACTCTAAATGTCTTTGGACGCACTCTAAACGTGTTTTGGTGCGCTCAAAACATGTTTACACGAACTCTAAATATGTTGAGACGCACTCTAAAAATGTTTTAATGCGCTCTAAACATGTTA